TCTAGTATGCTAATGAGACTACACCTGGAATTCAGTGGGGGGTATCTCACACCAGAATGAACATCTAGCAAATTGAAATAGTGCAGGGAGGAGCAATAAGAATGATTCAGAGTTTGAAGAGGCTGAGATGCAACAAGATTAACAAGATTTGCCTTTGTCTAGCATGGCTAACAGATGGCTAAAAGTGGGCATGATATCTGTTTATAAACACCTAAGGGTTAGGTGTAAACACGGACGATAGGCTAGCATTGCATAATATGGTACTGCGAAGATTTAACTTCAGGAAGAAATTTCAAGAAAGAATTCCAAAATAAATACAATGAAGCTATCTCCCAGAAAATGTGCAATTCGTTTTCTTCAGATATTGCCAAGAATGAGAAAGTTCAGAGAACTTTGCAGAAGGCGATGACCCAGCAGGTCTCCTGTAGGCTTAATTTCTTCAATTTAGCAAACTAGCAGAAGCCTTTTTAAGCTTGATCGGTCTGCACAACATTACTCAGAAAGTATGTTTATTTATAGATTTTAGAAAACCAGCTCTATAGAACTTTAGATTCCTGTAACTCCTCATGTGTTCTCCTACTCTGTCATGGGTAGAACAGGCAGTGGTCAGCTTTGTTTCTGTACAAGCTGGTCTCTAGAACCCTATTCTTCCAAAGTTCAATGGGTTTGGCTTAGAAATTACCAAGAAACCATTGACTGACGGCATTTTTTTAAAGAATTGTCCATGCTTCCAGCTGGAGTTCAAAGGTACACCAAAAGGACGCATAAGAGACTTACTTTGGGATAATTTCTCCAAACATCTAGTTCTCTTGTTTTCTTTTTTGGTAAATGCAGTGTCTTTTTCCACTTTTTAGCCTAAAAATTTGTTTTTACTAAAACGATGGTATGATTTTTCCCTTAAGGTTGCTTTTAAATGAAGTTAAAATAAAAATTATGTTTTGTATTATGAGCTCCTAGAGCACTTTGTTTGTTTAATTTGACTTATACAATACTGAATGCCAAAACGGTGTCATGCACATTTGAAAAATAAACAAATAGTCAATGGTAACTGCAGAGGCATCCTGCCCTAGGGGGGTGAGTTAAGGAAATTACTAATAAGCAACGTTTAAATTTCCATTGATTTCCTCTGTAAAGTCACACATTCTTTTCTCCCCCATGTATCTTCTTTCAGATTGAGTTAAACATTTATGGATATTCAGATAGCCTGATTTGGGTCATGTAGGACCTGCTGGCATTGGTGAAAAATCTGGAATGTGGCGGCAGATTTCCAAATTCAGAATTTGCCCACATTGTCTTTTAGGCTCATTGAGTTTCTCCCACTGTTCTGTTTTCCTAGTGTCTTTCATTACCTTGTAGAACTTTGCTGCAGTACCACACTAGGTCAACTGCTCTCCATATGGTTAAAATTGGAGTGTTTCTTACTTAATGATTAAGATAAAGTGGGAAAGGGGAAGAAGAAAGAAGAAAAGCATTTGGGGGCAGAGTGGTGGGCACCTGTATTTCCAGCATTCAGGGAGGCTGAGGCAGGAGAATTTCAAGTTCCAACCCAGCCTAGGCAATTTAGTTACTTAATGAGATCCCTGTCAAAATTAAAAGTAAGACAGGGCTAGGAATGTAGCTCAGTGTGAAGGCTATGAGTTCAATACCCAGTTGGAACAAAGAAAATAAAAGAAAAGGAAAGGAAAGAAAAGAAAAGAAAAGGAAAGAAAAGAAAAGAAAAGAAAAGGAAAGGAAAGGAAAGAAAAGAAAAAGAAAAGAAAAGAAAAAAGAAAAGAAAAGAAAAAGATAATGGGTAACTGACACCATTTTCAGGAGAGTTATCAGATTTTTAAACTCTGTTCTTATAAATTATTTGCATTTTGCCACAAGTAAGACAGTAAGAAAAACAATAACAATATGTTAATTTTTAAAATACACTTTAGAGACTTCAAATATGTTTTAGTCAATGTTTTCACCAATGCCAGCAGGTCCTACATGACCCAAAAAGATTAATAATTGAATAAGCACAGAATTTAAAACGTAATCTCTAAAATTAAGCTGGACCCAGAATTTCTCTTTGGTAGAAAAAAGGAAAGGCTTGAAAATGTGTTCTGAAATGCCTGAGGGACACATTAGGATGTGACTCTTTAAACCAATGTTTCATAAACTAATGTGTGACTTAATTTCATGCAGTACAGGAAAAATAACTGTTATTTCACAATACAGATTCACTTACAAGGCCATTTTCTATCCAAGGTATATGATATTGGGTTTCCATTTATGATAAGGATAAAAAGTTATCTTTATCAGATAAATTTATTTAATAAAATAGATTAAAATATATATTAACAGTACTATAGGTGATATGGCAGTAATTATAAAAGTGGTACTCAGTACAAATGCTAGAAATAATGCCTGGTTTAAACAAAATATTTTTGCCTAGATAACCTTAAAATTCTTTGATTCCTAATTTCAACTTAAATGTCTACTGAAAATATATTTTACTTCTAATGGTATCCATACAATATATGTATGCTTAAGACCACTCTTAGTAGTAATAAGAAGTTGAGTAATATTTTCATACAGCTCTAAATTTATTTGGATATTCTGTAAATGCATTGTTAGGTAGCTGCATAAAAAACTATGTGGGAGCAAAGTCACCTTGAAGACAAGATCCCTATGCTGAAAATCTGATTGGAGGAGGAAACAGGGAGACAAGCTAGAAACTATGTTAACGATGTTGTCTTAAAGAACCAATTTCCATTGTATGCAGATTATGCACCTCCCCACATTTAGTGAGAGGTAAAGCTAACACATAATGCTTTATACTAAAACAAGATTAAAAATGTGTGGACTTTTTTTTTTTTTGGTTTTTCTCTGGTACCAGGAACCGAACTCATGACCTTGACTTGCCAGGCAGGCGCTTTGCCGCTGAGCTAAATCCCCAGCCCCCAAGGTGTGGACTTTTGAAGAGGCTGTTAAATTCAGCATGGTCTTAACTCATCTATGATATTTGCTAGTGCCACACAGCTCTCAGACACTGAATGATTCACATTTTAATTAAGCATTTAGTTTGTAATATATATTTTAAAAAAATCATGACCGCCATAACTGTATAAAAGATCATGACCGCCATGACTGTATTAAAAATCATGACCACAATTACTGCTATTGCTACTAATAGCATAGAAGAGGCTGAGCGTAGACTTTGGTATTACGTCAAGGCTGGTGTGAATCCCAGGTCATTTATTTAGCAAGAAACTGCTAAACATTCTTAACCCTTAGTTTCTCACTGGGCTAAAGTAGAGAAATTAATCAAACCTTCCCCCTGCTATTTTTGCTTAGCTATATATTAATTAGCATTCCTCTTTAGGCCAGAATATGTTCTCAACCATCTCCAAATCCCACTTGCTGCAAACCCACCATCAGAACATTTTCTGCCTTTAGAACTATGAATCTGCAGAGAGGAACACTCAGTAAGTTGTGAGACCAGGGAAACTACCTTTATCAGTTTAATTTATGACCCTATTTTTTCCATGCCCTTTTAATTCTACATAATGCCTGATTCATTAACAACTTAATTGAAACTGTAAGTATTTAATAGTGTGTCTTCCTTTTCAAAGTGAGAGGATTCATATTACTTGCTTATGGTCAACCTGAAATGGATGATAAAATCATTCTTCTCATTTTTTTTCAGCATATAATTTAACTAATAAGATAATAAAACTAAATTTTCTTTGAATGGGGGTAATTTCTGTTGGTTAATTTGTTATCTTCGAGGCCATACCTAAGGCAATGTGCAGTGCTACTTACTGAATCTCGGGCTTTTTGCTTCTAGTCCTCTGGGTTTGTTTTTGGGAAAGGTACTTAGGTTTCTTTAGGCTTTGGTTTCCTCATCTTTTTTTTTTTTTTGGTTTTTCTCCGGTACCGGGAACCGAACTCACGACCTTGCGCTTGCCAGGCAGGCGCTTTTGCCGCTGAGCTAAATCCCCAGCCCCGGTCTCCTCATCTTTTACACAGTCTTAACCACAAAGACCACCACAGAGTTGTCGTGAAAAATGAACTCACATGTGCCATAAGTGATCAATATAGCCACTAACAGTAAATTCTGAAAATAAAAAGACATTATCGTGTAACAAAGAAGATGCTGCTGAAATAGACAATAGAAGGCAACTGTGACTAAATGCATATGAAATACACGGCCTTCCTCTGCCGCGGGCCCCTGGGTGTGACGGTCCTATGGCTGCATCTAGAATATAAAGTCCTACACAGAAACATAACGCATACGCAGGAGGCTTGGGCTCGAAATGTCATTTCAGCAATGTGCCTGTGGAAGCTGGGACGCTGCCTTGGAAGTCAGGAATTGCTGCATGACCTTTGGGCGTCTGGGAGGGATGCCTGTACCTGCACCCAGCGCTGGGAGGGGCCCAGGCCCTTCCCAGCCCAGCCGGTCTGCAGACTGCTTGGTGCTCATAGCACACATCTCCACGAAAAAGAGTATTTCCTTCGGTCGGAGAAAGCGCCTCAGTCGGGTGTGGGTTGGTTTTTATTCTGCCTCTTTGCAAGTAGGCGAAGTCCCGTCTCCTCCCTCGGGGTAAGTGACAATGAGTCCGGCAGGGGGCCCGCAGTGGCCTGCACTCCGGAGCCCGGGAGCGGCAGTTTCAGGCAAGTCCGGCGCTGGCCCACTGCAGCAGGTGGGGACAGCCAGTGGTTCCCTCGCGGGGAGGGGCGCGAGGCGCCGGTCCCTCCTCCTCAGCCCCGAGGCCGCGCGGTCTTCTAGGCCGGGTGGGGGCGGGGAGGGGGCGGCGCGGAGATTACCTCGGCGCCACCGGGGACACCCAGGGCCCCAAGGCCCCGGGCGGTCCCCACGCGAGACCGCAAACGATGACAACAGGCGTTCTCCCAACTTCCAATAAAAAAAGAACCGGTCCAGCTCTCGCCCCCGCCCCCCGCGCACCCGGCGGCCTCCCGAGCCCCAAGTCGCCGGCGGCGACGTGCTCCCCCCACTCCGCGCGCAGTGCCAGGCTGCCCGCCGCGGGGCGCACGCTCGGGCGGCTCCCGGCTTCCGCGCAAAACTTCCACCCTGTCTGCGTGAAGTGGCCGCTGCCTCGGAGGGGGAAGGAGCTTCGAGAAAAGCTGGGGCGTGCGGGCCACGGCCGGGCGCGCGCTCCTCGCCTTTTCTTCTGCTTTCTCCCGGGTCGCCGGTGCAGACTTTGGGCTCCTCTCCTCCTCCCTCTCGCAGCCAGCTGGCCCCACGCCCCGTTGCTCCCCCGTTTGTGTACGCTGTTTGTTGGGGGGGGGGGTGACCAAAGGGGATGTCCTGTTTTCACCAGAGACACAGCGCGAAGGGGAAACTTAGACATTGCAAGGAGCGAGACTAAACACCTAAGGATCGACGCGCAGAACTGTGGCTCAGACGGACACTAGAACTTGGGGATCCCGAGGCGGCCCGGGCGACGCGAGGTGAGTGGCCCTCTTCCACCAACCCTGGCCCAGGAGCCCGCGGGAGTCTGGAGTTAAAGGAGCCCCCAGGGCTCTCCTAAGAAGCGCGCGCGGTTGTGCTGGGGCCCCGGAGCCCAATGGGACAGTGCGCGGGCTTTGGAGTCGGGGGAGGAGGGCGGCGAGGACGGGCGTCTCTTTCCCAGGCGCAGACCTCTGGAAATGCAGCGGTGTGCCCTACCCGGGAGGACGCCTCGGTTCTCCAAGGGTCTCCTAGAAGCGGGTCAGTCCCCTGCGGAGCCGCAGAGCCCCGGGCTGAAAGGGTTTGCGAGGCTCACTCCCGCACCCACCCCAGCCTCGCAGGGCCGTGCGCGCCAGGGTCTCCGCTAAACTCGCCCTCTGTGGCTTAGGACTTGGTGATGACCCGGTAGGCGGCCCAGGCGCGAGGATGCTGACCCAGAGTCCCCGGAGGGCCCCAGGCGCCGGGGTTGTCTGGCTGCCGGTGCGGGTGTACCTTCTGGCACTGACCGGGCTTTAAACTGCGGCGATCCCACTTGAATCGTTTTCATGTGGGGTGAACCGAATGTCTTCCACCGTTTGCCAGGGTCCGTGAAATTAGAGGCGCCTAGTCAGAGGAGTCGCGTTCATTGGCTCGGGACGCGGATGCCTTGGAGGGATTCTAGCTTCTGCCAGCGAAGGGACCTGGCTGGGGAGAGCAGGTTTTCTCTGCTTTCACAGCCTGCTGGGTCAGGGTCTGGGGACGCTGTGAGACTTGAAATAGTTTTCTTTTTTTTTCTCTTTCCTTTCTTTGAATGGTGAAGTGGAATTGGAAGTAGACAGCGTGTGCGTTTGTTTTATTCTATGCCACGCAGCAACCCAAACTTTCTTTTGGTGTCACTTTAAAGATTACCCCCCCCCGCCCCGTTTCTTTGTATACAAATTCGGAATAGCTCGAGGGCGATTAGGGAATTTGCGAACCAAGCCTGGTGGGTGAGCATCTGGGGAACCCCGAGAGCGCAGCTGAATTTTTGTCCTCTCTTCTCTAGTTGGGGTGGTAGTGTCTCACTTCGCCAGCACGCGGTCCGCGTTGCGCGTCCAGAAACAGCGGACTGGGTTTGCGCTCGCTCTGGGGGACAGTGCGCGTGGAAGGCGCTCCCTTTGAGAATCCTGCTCCTTCTGTGGTCCCTGGCGCCTCTCCCCGTCCCTGCCGAGCGGGTGCGAGTGTTGTTCAGGAATAGGAACCCAAGGGCAGCTGGGAAGGTGCAGGTCCTCTGTCCCTTCTGCCAGCGTGCAGCGTCGCGCCCGGGACTTGTGTTTTGGTTTCCGAGCAGTTCCACGTGGAGCACCTTCGTGTGCGTGTGTGTTGCGTACTTGATCTATGAGGAGGTAACTGGACTCTCGTGTTCAAGCCCAGTGGGCTGTTGGCCATTAATTTGCTTTCCTGGCTGTCATTACAGACACTTCCAAAATCTGATACCTCAGAGGACCCACAGGTTGGGTTTCACATTAAGAGCTCATACTTAACAGTTTTCTTTCTCCCTTACCCCTTTTGGCTTGGCACCCTGGGCTCAACGTAATTGTTGGAGCGAAATCTATCTTCTCGATTATGGCATTTTGTTCCTGTTCTCAGCAGCGGCCACTTTTGCACCCTCGGGCGCTTGCGAGTTTCGCTCCGGTTCCCGCAGGGCTCGGGTGGGAGGCGCAGGAGCGCCCAGCTACCGCAGGCTCGGCCGGCCGCAGCTCCTGAAGTTTCACTTCCACCTAAGGGAATGACAGCGCTGAAAGTTGCCTGTGTTTTTTTTTTTTTTTTGTTTGTTTTTTTGTTTGTTTGTTTATTTGTTGATCTGACTTTTTGTGTATTTATTTTTAAGGCCTTCTTGGGACACGAATTATACTGGGTGATGTTTCCCAGTTACAGCTTGGTTTTAAACAAAGACACGATCTTTTAAATTTTTTTTTTTTTGACTTTGAAAATATGTCACGCTTACACCTGAAGAACCAGAACAATGAAGGAAGGAAGCAGGGAGAAAATCCCGAAACAAAATGTTTGATTCCTAGTAGGGTGTGTTTTAAGAGACTGCATTCAGACTGTGTACTTTTAAAAATAACATTATCCCAAGAAATAAAAACAGTAGTAACAACAGACAAACTTCTCGGTGTGGAGCGACACTGCCAGAATCTGAGTTTTATAGCAATAATAGAGACCGCAGATATAACTACACTCATTTTTATTGTTATTATAAACCATATAAATAGTTTGTTCCACCTGATTAAAAACTGCAGGTCATTCAAAGTTAACCAGTTTTTTAGAAGTAACTATACAAGAACGGGAGAGTCCTTGGTAATAATAGCTTTGCAACATAATTAGATTAGCTGGAAATTTCTTATTATTAGTATGTGTGTGTCCTTGTCTTTTCTACTAAGTGAAGGTCTAAATCAATGTGACTTTCAAAAGCCTATTTTCCTTTGTACACTGCCTGAAAATAAATACACTTCAATATTTTAAGGTTGTCTTAAAGATTGTTTCACAATTATCACAAAAAATTCACTCCATTCTTTTTTATTAGATTTTATTTTACTAAATATTGGAGATTTAATTTCTCATCTCTAGAATAGTTATATATACCCATAAGTAATATTCGTGTCAAGTAGTATGTTTAAGCCTGAGTGTCTAAAAACTCTTAAGATTTGTGTAAAAAGAAATAACAGTTACTAAGTAATGGAGAAGTGGAATTGTAGAGGATTTCTAGAAGCCAGATGAAAAAAATTGTCTTTGCATAAAAATTTCTTTTCTCAGGGGAGACTGGCAGATGAGTGATTTGTCATTTGTATTTGTATAAAATTATTTGTTTTTTTCTTTTTATAAAAACCTCTCTGGGTTAAAAAATGAAGAGCAAGCTATCCATTTCTAAGAGTTTCTCTTTTATTTATATTGTGATTTGGGGTGTAAATAAATTTGACATAGCCATGGGAAATAGAGTATCCTGTTTCATGTTTTCAGTCTCTGTTGCAAGTGCTAAATGACTGATGTCGTAGCTAAAAATACATTTATGTGGCCTGATACTTCATTATTTTATTTTACACATTGGAATTAAATTATCCAGACCTTTTAGAAAAGTAGAATGGTAGAAAACCTACAAGTATTAATATAAAAGTTTAAGATGTTGGAAAATTCACACCCTAACATTTAGATATTAAAATTAAACTTATTCTACTCGGTGAAACTGCACACGTTTTACTCAGAATTCAAAAAGAGGGGAGATAATCCTTTTCTAGACTTAGTGAAGTGTTAAGTAATTTAAGAATGTAAGTATTTATTATGGTTTTTCATTATCTTTTTTTTTTTCTATTAGGTAAATGCAAGAATACTGAGTATTCAGTAAAAACAGGCCCCCCTTTATAAGGAGTTTATTCACCATAGTTCTGTGTTGCAGCTGCTGATCATATTTCACGGAGCTGTTAAAGCACTTAAAACCTAAAATTAGGTACTGTCTGGTTGTAAATATTTCAGATCATTCATTTAAGCAATAAATAGAAAAGTATGCTATCGAAAGTGGGAGACCGTTTGAATCCTCTTATTGAAGAGCAGAGCAAGCCTCTATCAGACACCCTGGTATTTTTTCAGTGAGAATATAATCCTGACAGTTTCTTTTTCAAACGGATATTATCCTTACATATGCTAAATTCTTATAATGTGCCTCTCAGTAGAGTATCTTAAACTAATTGTATTCAGAAATACAGTTGGGGGATTTTATTACAATGGTTACTAGGTGAAGGAAATCAACACCAGGGGCAATGGATGGCGTGCAGGTACCTGCTTCTCTCATGAATTTTTCCTAGTGCGTTGAGAAAGGACTTGCTTTTTCAAACATTTGCCCTCCAGATGGGTGAGCTGCAATGGTGTATTTAATTGCAGTATGTACAGTGCTGTGTGCTGCAGTTAGAACTGTTTTACTGTGGGGGAGCAGTGAATATTCATTAAAATGGACATAGAGCCAAACTTGGTGTCATTTAACTTGATCTCCAGTGAGTGGAAGAAAATAAACAAGCGTCAGATCTTTAAATGCTTTCAGGAGGGTTGAAGGCTTTGTAAACATTACCGTCATCTAATGTTGCACTGCACGTTTGGGTATGCTTCGGTGATAAGTCACGTAAACCTGCAGCTCCTGATTCTCACCCTTCTCCATCCAGGGATTTACTAGGAGAGAGGCGCTAAGAATGAAGAGAGCACTCTCCCTGTTCCCCTGACTCCTCTCCTTCTTCCAGAAAAAGAGATGATAAACATGATGAACTGAATAATAGAAAACATTCTGAGCGATCGAACCCACATTGGTATGGTGGTTTCAGACAGTGTCAGAGTGCGCCTTGAGCCTCACTGTAACCCTTCCTGTTACAGAAAGGTGCTAATTGATCTTAGCACTGCCATCATAGTATAGCTTGATATTTGAAACCACTCAGTGCTGGTCTGGCCCTTTTGTCACCCTGAGATTTCGGTGCCTGGCTTATGAAGAAAGACACCATAGTAAAATATCAGAATTTCTCCTCCTATAAAATATTTTTACAATACGTTAACGTTTAAAATTTTTATTAATAAACAGTACAGAAATTTATTTCAATGTACATTTGGAAGAAAAATCTGGATTGTCATTTTAAGACATTAAAACTTTACCCACATGTAGTTTTATGGGTTTAGATTTTTAGGCAAAGTCTGATTGATTGCCATTATCATATTCAAGTATTTCCAAAACGAAGTTATGTCCTCCCAGCATAAAATATCCATCTTAAAATTTTATATGTTAGGTATATTTTTTTAAGTATATACATATCCTGAGGTATGTTCAATACTTGAGTTAGTCTTCAGACTGTGTGGTAACTTTTTTCTGTCTGGTAACTCATCCGCATATCATGAGACACTATCATCATTATAACATCCTAAACTAATATTTGGTGAGGATTTATTTTATGTCAGATATGTTTTAAATATTTTATGTGGATTAGATAATTTTAATCTTCTCAACTATTCC